CAGGGCTGCCAGAGGGATGTCTGATTGCCATCTTAGGCCCAATCCCCTGGGGAGCAGGCCTAAGCCAGCAAGTGGCCACCCTTGAGCGGTCCCAGACTGCGAAAGGTCACAGGTTGGGCTGAGGGACCCCCTACCCCTGAGTGCACAAATTTTTGTGCACCGGGCCTCTAGTGTATAATAAAAGCATAATATGCTAATTAGACTGAAGAGCCAAATGACCTTCCAGCTATCATTCTGAATGTCATTCCAGACATCCTTCTGGATAAAGCCACGGGAGCTGAGGCAGAGGCAGTTAGGGGTGATCAAGCAGGCAGGCAGGTGAGCATTTAGGGGCGATGTTAGAGTGATCAGACCGGCAGGCAAGTGGTTAAGGGCGATGAGGTAGGAAGGCGAGCAGTTAGGGGTGATGAGGCAGACAGGCAGCGGTGGTAGGCGTAACCAGGCAGGCAGGCAGATGAGAAGTTAGGTGCCAGTGGTCCCGAATTACGAGAGGAATGTCCAACTGCTGCTTTAGGCCTGATCCCACAGAGTTCCCTTTGGGATCGGGCCTAAAGCGGCAGTTGGACACCCCCCAAGGGGTCCCGGAGTTCTTGGGGAGGATCTGGAACTCTCCTACAGTGAACTGAATCAGTCTGGTTCAATCAGAGAAGCATATATACTAGTATATACATATATGTGTGTGTGTGTGTGTGTGTGTATGTGTACATACATATATATACATATGTATGTATATATACATATGTGTGTATATGTATGTGTGTATATAGCATGCTATAAACATGAATTGCACTCTGAGATCCAAGTCTACACTGAATTAGGACAGATTCTTTATCTGTATGGATAGATATAAAAATTATAAACTGTATTTCATACTGGCTTTCTTAACTGTCTCAAGTATATCCCATTAAGTAAATTTTGCAACATGGTACTTTTTATCTGAAAATATTGAAGTAAAATTTTTAAATACATTTTTTATTGATTTTGGAGAGAGAAAGAGAGAGAGGTAGAGAGATAGAAACATCGATGAGAGCAAAACATTAATTGGCTGCCTTCTGCACACCCCCTACTGGGGATTGGGCTGGAAACCCAGGCATGTGCCCTGACCAGGAATCAAACCGTGACCTCCTAGTTCATGGGCCCACGGTCAACCATGGAGCCACACCAGCTGGGCTTGAAGTAAATTTTATATAAATTATAAATCAAATAATTGAGAGAGAGCCATAGTAGTTAGAGGAAAAATTGTTATCAATATTTGCTATTCTACATAGTTATAATAGTATATTTTAGCCTAGGTATTTCTTTCTCTTGCAATCTCTAAACCACCCTCTCCAAAATATATTATGTTTAATCATATAAAATTACCATTTTCGTGTGCCATAGTTGAAATTTCTTATTCAATCTAATACATTTAAATTTTCTATAAATTACGAGTAGGTTCACAGACTTCCTGCAATCATTTATGATCTGTGAACCCCGAGTTAAGATTCTGTGCTCTATAGCTTAGGGTACCATTAAAACCTATTGTAAAACATTTTGACACAGTGAAAGGAAAAAAAATAGAGAATTCTAATACGTAAAGCAGGAGATTTGGAGGAATTTTTTTTTTTAAGTAACTACTAACTTTCTGCTCTTAGGTAAGAAGTGCAAATTATGAAACAGATCCATTTGTTCAGGAGTTTCAATTTAAAGTTCGGGATGAAATGGCCCATGTAACTGGACGCGTACTTCCAGCACCTATGCTCCAGTATGGAGGACGGGTAAACCTCTTGGTAGTTTTTAATTACAAAAATAACAGTTTCTATGTATGGAGATTTCTAAGTCTTGAATTTGAAAATGTTTTATTGTTTCAACATTTTTTTGTCTTAAAGTGTCTTCACTTGGGTTTAGTAGAGTTTTTGCTTTTCTATGATAAAGTATACATAATATTGATTTAGAATAACCTATTCCATGTAGAATATTAGATATATATATCAGCTATTGAAATAAACTATGTTAAGTGTTCGTTCTTTTCTGCTGTATTTCTATTTCTCCTTTTTCTGTAGAATCGAACAGTAGCAACACCAAGCCATGGAGTATGGGACATGCGAGGGAAACAGTTCCACACAGGAGTTGAAATCAAAATGTGGGCTATCGCTTGTTTTGCCACACAGAGGCAGTGCAGAGAAGAAATACTGAAGTAAGTCTTGTCATGAGTTTGGCTTTGAAACTGTTTTGTTTTTAAATTTTGTATTTCAGTTTTAAATTATTCAGCTAATGGTCTAACCCATGTTGCCTCAGTATGACGTGTACTTAATAGCTGAGCCTTTAAAAATGTTTCTTCTCAATATTTTGACGAAGATTTCTGAATTTGTTAGTCATCATAAATTCACTAATTCATCCTTATAGACATCTTAATACAGTGGTCGGCAAACTGCGGCTTGCGAGCCACATGCGGCTCTTTGGCCCCTTGAGTGTGGCTCTTCCACAAAATACCGACTTCTGCGCATGGGCCACGAAGTTTCAATCGCACTGTACATGCGCGCCCGGTATTTGTGGAAGAGCCACACTCAAGGGGCCAAAGAGCCGCATGTGACTTGCGAGCTGCAGTTTGCCGACCACTGTCCTAATAGACTAGCTTAGGTGTTATAGCAGAAACATCATTGACTGTAGTGGCAACTACGTTTAATTCCCAACTTTGCTACTTCCTAGCTTTATTACCATGGATAATTTTTTAATCTCATTATGTTTCAATTTTTACTTTTTTAGAATAGAGATAATAGTACTAAATAAGATTCTTATTTCTCATTCTAGTTCCTTGAAAAAGTGGCTTAACTCCTCATTTCCACTTCCTTACTTTTCAAAGTTTGGCCTCCATCTCCACGATTTTCCCTCTATCCCAGATTTTTCCCCTCAGTTTGTAAGTGCTCAACAATCTTCTGTTTAAATTTGTAAGAAACACCCAGCCGGCATGGCTCAGTGGTTGAGCGTCAACCTATAAACCAGGAGGTCACAGTTCGATTCCCAGTCAGGGCACATGCCCCAGTTGTGGGCTCAATCCCCAGTGTGGGGCATACAGACGGTAGCCAATCAATGATTCTCTCTCATCATTGATTCTATCTCTCTCTCTCTCTCTGCTTTCCTCTCTGAAATCAATAAAAAAATATTTTTTAAAAAAAGATAAATTTGTAAGAAACAAGCCCTGGCTCGTTGCTGAGTGGTTAGAGCATAGGCCCACGGACAGAAGGGTTACAGTTAGATTCCCAGTCAAGGGCACATACTCGATTGCAGGTTCAACCCTCCCAGCTCTGGTTGGGGTGAATTCAGGAGGCAGCCAATCGATGTATCTCTTTCACATCAATGTTTGTCTCCTCTCTCCCACTTCTCCCTCTCCTCCACTCTCTCTAAAAATAAATCAATTGAAAAAAATCCTGGGTGAGGATTAAAAATAATAATAGCCCTAGCCGGTTTTGCTCAGTAGATAGAGCATCAGCCTACGTACTGAAGGGTCCTGGGTTCCATTCCGGTCAAGGGCATGTACCAGGACTCAATTCCAGCCCTGGTCAGGGCACATACAGGAAGCAACCAATCAATGGGTCTTTCTCACATCATGTTTCTCTCACTCTGTCTCTCCCCCTCCCTTCCACTCTCTGTAAAAAAATAATGAATGAATGAGTAAATTTGAAACAAAAACATCTTCAGTTTTTTAATTTACCTAACTTATTCTCTCAGGCTTCCAAGGCTTCCACTCTTTCTCCTTCCTAGAAATTTTAATGCTCTGCTGGAGAGGGAGAGAGAGATAGAAACATCCACAATGTCTTCCACGCCCCACACTGGGGATCGAGTCCATAACCCAGGCATGTGCCCTGACCAGGAATCGAATTGTGACCTCCTGGTTCATAGATCAACACTCAATCGCTGAGCCACGCCAGCCAGGCTTTTTATTTTAAATTTTGTGTTGTTGTTAATCCTCACCCAAGGATATTTTTTCCATTTTTTGAGAGAGTTGAAAGGGAGCAGAGAGACAGAGAGAAACATGGATGTGAGAGAGACAACATCGATTGGTTGCCTTTCCCATGCGCCCCAACTGGAGCCGGGGATCGAGCCTGCAACCGAGGTACGTGCCCTTGCCCGGGAATTGAACCCTTCAGTCCACAGGCCAAAGCTCTAACCAGTGAGCCAAACTGGCTAGGGCACAATGACTTATTTCTAACCTTCTCTCCATTCTTGCCTTCCATGTTCCTTTTTATCATACTGACTTCTTCTCTGTCTCCTCTCATTTGGGACTCTCAGGTCTTTGGGCCTTTAGCAGTCTCAGGGGCTTCTGCTGTCACTTTTCTTTGAGGAGCTGTGCTGTTGTGAAAGAGTGCCAGTTCCTCTTGTGACTAACCCAGCCGTGGGCAAACTACGGCCCGCGGGTCAGATCCGGCCCGTTTGAAATGAATAAAACTATTGAAAAAAAAGACTGTACCCTTTTATGTAATGATGTTTACTTTGAATTTATATTAGTTCACACAAACACTCCATCCATGCTTTTGTTCCGGCCCTCCGGTCCAGTTTAAGAACTCATTGTGGCCCTCGAGTCAAAAAGTTTGCCCACCCCTGGACTAACCCCATTCCAAAACTTTTAGACTTCTCTTTGACAAAGAATAACATTAAAACTCAGAACGACATTTCAAATAATTCACCTGCCTCTTAAGTCATTTCATTTTCACATATTTGGACAGAAAACTGAAGCACTGCATTTCTTATATCTCCCTGGCATTGTTTTCCATTTCCACTTATGCTACTCTTTACAATCTCTGCTCATCTAAATACTATTCAATCTGCCCTGGCCAGGTGGCTCAGTTGGTTAATAATAAATTTATTCAGAGCATCATCCCATACACCAGAAAGTTTCAGGTTCAATTTCCCGGTCAGGTACATACCTAGTTTGGGTTCCATCCCTGGATCGACATTTCTCACATAGATTTTCTCTCTCTCTCTCTCTCTCTGTCTCTCTCTCTCTCTCTCTCATTCCAAAATCAATTTTTAAAAAACAAAAAATGATGTCCTTGGGTGAGGGTAAAAAGGAAAGAATAAATAAATAAATGCTATTCAATCTTCTGTCATTTGTGACTCTGGAAATAATCTCTTAACTCTAAACATACGAATTCATTAATATCTTTATACTTGTCACTTTCTGCATAAAAATTATAATTATTTATTTAAATTTATCTCCCCTCTAGAATCTAATTTTCTTAATAAAATGATTGGTATCTAATTTAAATCTCTATTAATAGAGCCTATAAAGTATGCCCATAATGAATAATTCTTATTTTTTTGTTTTTGTTTTGTTTTTGTTTTAATTTTTCATTGATGAAGTTATTACATATGTGTTCTTATCCCCACATGATCCCCTATCCCCTCCACTCATGCCCTTGCCCCCCTAATGAATAGTTCTTGAGTCATTTAGAGACCAATTTACCCAGGTCAAATCAGAATTTACCTTGTCTCCTTATGTGAAAAATAAAAAAATTTATTTAATTCTGTTCACTTCTTTTTATTGGCTCCATATATCTAAACATCTGTTTTAAGGTTCACTTACTATATTTTTCTCTAAAGTTTTTATCCCCTTGCTTTCAAGTAAAATGTCATAAGGACAGTTTAACTACAATGCTACGATTATTTTACGTGACCTCTAGAGACCAAAGAAAAACCCTCCAATTTTTTTCAAGAAGGGAATGCCTACAAACCTTATCTCTGCCCTCATGGAATCAGAGTGTTTTTCCTCAAAGATAACTGAGATCCTTGACTTAGGACCTTATGTGTTTTTAAAACAAATAAAGTTATTGTTCGACCTCGACATCATTATTCATTTCTCCTAAGCTAAATGGAGAATTTTGGTTGAATATGAAATTATTCGTCTTTTGTTTGTTTTTTTCAGTGTGGGTAAAAATACTTAAAAGTGATGCCTACCTCATTTGTTTTTAAGCATTGGTTTCATTTTTCTTTTTTAATCTTTTCTGAGAAAGCTAATATTATGGAAGGAAAGTCTGGACTAAGTTAGAGTTCTGACTCTGTCATTTAATCATTTGACTTTGGCCAAATACTTAATTACTCTGAAACTGTTTCCTGACCTATAAAATGGGAATAATACCTGACCTACCACTTCTTTTTTCATGACCTACCTCTTATGAATCTTGATCAATTTAGAAAATGTACAGTAACTTAAATTTATCAAGATCTTACCATGTCTTGGGCAGTGTGCTAAGTGCTTTGCGTGTATTATCTCATTTTATTTGCACACCAACTCTATCCTGGAAGTAATCATTTTACAAATGAAAGAAGCTGAAAAAAATTGCCTAAAATTTCAAAACTAGTAAGTAACAGAACTGGGATTAAAACCTCTCATGGTAACTCTAGAGCTGAGCACTTACTTAATCAGCACATTTATTACTAATGCCCTTTGTAAACTACAAAATGCTACACAACTGTATAGTATTGTTAGTTTGCAAAATAGATTACTGACCCACATTGTCCTAAACATCAATAGTGTGGTGACCTCTACATTTATGGAGCACATTAATCTTTGCTTCATTCTCCATTCCCTTCCCAAACTTTCTATTACTACTTTGTAGGTATTGATGATTAGACAAATGTTTTATATTTAGTGATTGCTCCTTCTAGGGGTTTTACGGACCAGTTGCGTAAGATTTCTAAAGATGCAGGGATGCCCATCCAGGGCCAGCCTTGCTTTTGCAAATATGCGCAGGGGGCAGACAGCGTGGAGCCCATGTTCCGGCATCTCAAGAACACATACTCTGGACTACAGCTCATTATTGTCATCTTGCCAGGGAAGACGCCAGTATATGGTAAGAATACCTTAAGATTGCATTTTCCTCAAGTATATGATGTTCCTTTTAGAATAATGCTAAAACATATCCTAAAACTTGCAAAAATGTTATAGCTTACAGTGTTTAAAACCATGTATTGTTATTTTAAAAAGACAAATCAGTAGAGCAAACTAAACGGTCTATGAAGAGACCTGGTGAAAAGTGCTGGGGTCCAACCCCAGCAGATCCAGCGGTCCCCAAAGGAGTGGACGGAGGCGGCGTAGAAGG